AAGCCAAAATAGAACAAAACATACAATAAACTATAAAATGAACTAAAAACTAACAAAAAGACCTATAACGGGAGAAAAGGAACGACAAATAGTACAAAAAAATGTAACAAAAATGGTCACAACAGTCACTTGTCATTATTATTCGAATTAATCATTCAAGTTAATACAAAAAATCAATCTTTGATCACCAATCTGGTGTGGTAGATTCTTTTGAGTTTTACCATACAATTCGTGTAAGTTTTTCAATGAAAAAAATGAAAAACTGGGCGATGCTTGGTTACAATTTCGAATTCGTTATTCCGTCTTTGCACTCGAGGGCCAATATCCGTCCGGATTGGGTTCATCCCTATAGTAATCGGATGTAGAAGGAAGGGCTATTGCACGTCTTTTACATAACTATCGTCAAGAAGGAAGACCTATTGCGTGCCAATCGAAGCAAACTAAGCTATCGGGATGCACAATCTTAATCATTAAGCTTGTACATGTCGCCAACAAGCTTGCCCTAGGTGTGACCTGGGTAGTCGCATCCTTTGACAAACCGGGTGGTGGTCCCCTTCCCACATGGACCTGTGATGCCCGTGCCTTTTCCATTTCTGCACCCACATATTTTCTTGAGTTTTCTTCAAGCATGATCTTGAGATTTTATAAGAAAAATCAAGTCCCTCGTCAATCAGTAAAAGACCATATTTTTCCTACAACGACGCCAATTTAATACGCAATTACCCCGGGCCAGCTTGTACCTCGGTGATACCACAAACCATTCTTCCATTTAAGCTTTGATAACTTGGAAATACGTTGGGAGGGTTCCCAACGGTAAATCCTCTGACGCGCTCAAGTCTGAATCTCACCGTGAACTCTTATAAACTGAAATACGTAATATGCGATAGATACAAAAGAACAGGCTAACCTCTTTTTATAAGGAAGTTGTTTTCTTGTAATCTCGTTACTAGGAAAGATATATGTCCATATCTCGTTTCTTAATATTACATGTCTTAAAATCTTCTAAATTTCCGCGAGATAGACTTACCATTCTAGTAGGATTATATTTCCTTGTGTGTCAGTACTCTGCAGGTCCTTAGGTCAGAACATCGGCCTAACAACCTTGGCCTAACGACCTTGCAACTCTACTATATCTATCAAGTCGTTTAATCGATCTCTACCATGACATCCAAGTCATGATAACCACTCCTCTGACTAAAAGCTCAGACGAGCTCAACTTGCTAGTATGAATGTTATATCAATAACAGTCAACACGGGATTTAATTTCCTTGATAATCATCACCGCCTACCTTTGGCCCACATATATACTTGATATTACGTTCAATGTATACAAACTAGTTCTTCTAAATTGCTAAAACAAAGTGATTAGTGGAGATGACACAATCTGCTAAGATCTTAATGTGAATCTAGGTGACAAGTCATAATATATATAAATGAGAATTATCTTTTTTTATTATTATTATTATTATTTTCATACAGAATAGAAGGTTGACCTTATAGTAACTAAATAATTTTTAATGACACTTGATTGTTGACCCTGCACATTTGATTATTGATCGTGTGGTAGCCACTATGTAGGATTATTATTCATTTCTCCTTTTAAATTTGATCATCCTATTTGTACGACTGTGGTTTGGTGGGAGCATGTCTAACCCCACTATTACATTCATGCAAAGGATTATAGTGATGGCTATCATTAATTCAATTGATTGCAATTTAAGAATAATCTAATTCTCATAATGTAATTAAAGCACGATTTTTAATTTCTTGTCAATTGATAAATACATCAAGAAATGAAGAGTTGCAACTCCCATTGTGTGCAAGCTAAATTTACAAAAATAAAATAAAAAAAAAAATAATATGTAAGTTATACAAGATCAAAGTTCAACATTCAATTATGTTTCCAATCCAAAAATCAAATCATCAATCTTAGATTTAAAACTGAAGCTCAGAGTTCAAACATAGCCGTTGTCCCAAATTCTAAAACCACCGGTTACTTCGAACTATAAGTTCTAGATTCTACATGGGGCAAATCCTCTATGATCTGCCAATATTTTTACTCAGGTATACGTGGTCATTGAAATTCTGTTAGATTTATGATTTAGCAGATGAGTTGCGTCTTTTTCATATATAATGCAAGTAATAAAAAAAAATATTGTTTGACACATTATTAACTGGTTACTGAAGTTTAATTCACGCTTCAATTTGCCAAAAAATAAAATCGTGGCTTAACTAATTACTAAAAGTAAAGAAGTTATGAACAAATTGCAATTAAAGTGAAGTTTGTGGTTTGTTTTCCAATTTTGAATTCATGCAAATGGATTGCTAATAATTGCCAACTCCTAATTCTAATGCAATTTTTAAGTGAAACACAAGTCCACTCCTACAACAAAATTGGACTCCCTCTATTTTGAAATATAAGACATTTAAGGTTATTGCACAAATATTAAGGAGACATTAATTAATGAATAAATTGACTAAATTAACCTTATTTACTCTAATCACAACCACTCCACACTTCCTTAATTTCAACACAATGAGGGTATATTTAAAAAAAATACAAAAATTTGTCTTGATTTTTTAGCGCGTCTTATATTTAAAAAAATTGAGAAATCTTTATACGTCTTATATTTCAAAATGGATGGAGTACATTTTAATTCACTGTATCCTAGAGTGCTACGCGCTCTCAAATTGAGGTCTAGAGCTTCGCATCAGCAATGTATGTTGACACGAAAAATTCAATAATGTCCAAATGTCCAATGAGACAAATACACTAGCCTACAGTGCTTCCCTTTCTTTTCACTTCTTGATAATTTCACTAGCCTTTCTACATCATGAAATGATGTAATACGCCATGACGTGATTTGCCTATTGTTAGACATGACTACGGGCGAACTTGGCCCGGAACCAGCCCGGTCAAGCCCCTTGACTGTGGGCCGGGACCCACGAACCGGTTCAAGTTCATGAATTTTCACAAATTGAACCGTCGATTTTGATTTCGAACGGGAATTGAATTCCCAACCCTGGGTTTATCCGGACCGATTCAAGTTCATGAATATTCATGAATTGAACCGCCGGTTTCGAAGCAGTTGGACAATTTTTTTTAATTATTATTTAATTTATTTTTTCAGTCCAAAATCGACGGGCTGATTTTGAACCAGAGCTTTTGGTTCATTGAACCTGCCCATGTATAATGGCCCCTCAAACTAGTAACTTTTGGCCATGATTACCTATTGTAAGTGCTTCTCAAGTCAAAGATGATATGATTTGAAATTGAGGTGGCCAAATGTCGATTTTAGGTCCAGAATCTTCCGTTCATTGAACAGGTGATTCACGGTTCAGAACTAGCCCACTAGTTCCGAGTCAAACCGACGAAGAAAAAAGTATATTAAAAATAATAAAAAATAAAAAATAAAAACAATTTTTAATTTTTGTAAAAATATGAACCTGAATCGAATTGGATAAAACTACAGACCGATTCAAGGTCGCGGTCAATGGGCTTGACCGGGCTGGTTGGTCCCGTGGCCATCTATGTTGAAATCTAACATTGCACAGAAAGTGGATCCCATTTTCGTCTTCTATTAGTAGTGTGTTTGGGGAACGCACACTTTTGATGGCATTGGTTACATTCTAAGACCCTAGTCATATAGTTTGAAATCATTTGGGGCTTAATGTCTATTGATCACATGTATCTTTTAATAAAAATGATCTCATTTGTTGCACAACAACTTTCTTTATAACCAAAAGTCTATTTCCATTATTCCTACTTGCATTCCCTCCCACTTGTAGAGTTTATGAAAACAGTATGCCCCATTGAATTGTATATAAATATATATGAACCCTCTAAATTTGTTGAGTCAAAGTGGAGACCGAAAGATTGCCTCCCTTACACTTTTTACACACAGACTTTCTTGGAGAGAATGTGAATTGCAAATATTGAGGATTTGCAATTGCTGTATGGTATAACAATAACTAATCTTGATGAATTGATCAAACCAACTGGAAAAACAAACAAACAAATACCCTTAACATTTTTATGAAATTTCAAAGCCAGCTTGAACAAAATTTGAACTAATCTTAAGCATTTGCATTTTTCAAAATGTTTTAAAATGCATATAGCGCAATGCGTCGTGTTTTGGTCTTTATACTGTATAGTGTAAATAGCGTTGCGTGTTGCGTAAACTATTTGAGTATAAAAATTTATTTTTATAAATATATTTGTATATAATAAAACTGGATGGTTGGTTCAAAAATTATCATAATATTTGAATGAATTCAAAAATAAAATCTAAGAATTATTTCTCACAAATGTTTAATGTAAATATCATAATATAAGTATTCAAATAATAAAGTGAATTAATATACTAAAAAGTCAAAACAAACAATGAATATATAATGAGGTAAGTCATAATTCAATTTCAAATATATGTATTTTAATTATTATTATTATTTAACTACAACTTAATCCTAACTCCTATATATGTACTTTTTATTATTTTTTTAAATGTTAAATATCAAAAATTAAAATGATATAATAAAAATGGACAAATAAATATTGCACTATTCAACTTAAGACTTTGCATTTTCCAAGCTTTTAATTTAAAATTATTGTCAAAGCTTTAGTTTTTAGTTGTCATTTAAAAATATAGATCTAATCCCTAAAAAATACGAGTTTTGGAATATTTTAGTATTTAAATATCGTTGCAAAAATATAACGTAATGTCATGCACAATAGAGTGAAATAACGAAAAATAGCATAAAACAACGTGCCATTTAGCATTTCGCGTAAATTTTTCGGGAAAAACACTAAATATATAACGCTATGTCGAGTTTTTTGTAAAAAAAAGTTACATAGCAAGCAATAACAAGCTATTTAAAACAATAATTTTTCTAAACAATGATTTTTCTTAAAGAGTTGAGACGAGCCAAGTCTAAAAATGTTTGGCTTGTCGAGCTCGAGCTCGAACAACGNAGATTAAAAAAAAAAAAAAAAAAATTGAGCCTAACTTAATAAGGTTAATCAATGAAGAGCAAATATATTTAGGGGGAAAGTGGAAACTCATACATAAATCCAAGAATTTTCACAGTTGATAAATATTAATTATACAATCCCTCCCCTTTTTTCCCCTTCTACCTGAACACACACACACTACACTCAAAACTCAATAGAACCATTTTTCACACTATAGTTATAACCACCAAAATCTTTCCTCAATAATTAGCCTGGAAAGGTTTGAACGCCTTCAGATGCTCGGCGACCCCCGCCACCGAACCAGCGCCGGCGGCGACCGACACCGCCAGGCAGGTCGCGCTCAAGATCTCCAGGCTGATCCACCGCGTGCTCCACCTCGGGATCCTCTTCGCCGCTATGTACATCTCCACCGGAAAATAGACCGTCAGCGGCCAGAACCCTAGCGCCCCCAAAATCCCCACCACGTCGTTGAAGAAGGGCAGCAGCATCGAGATCAGCGTGGTCAGCACCACGAACACAGTCCGCCACACGAGCCGGAAGGGATTGAGCCGGTACGGCCGCCGGAGGCCCGGCACGGAGACGTTGATGTCGGTGTTTCCGATTTCGCCGTCGGGGAAGCGCGACGCGGCGTGCTTCTCGACGAAGGCGAAGATCGGCTGGCAGAAGACCTGGTAGGCGCCGATTAGGTGGAAGACGATGGCGGCGTTTGCGAGGTCGATGAGCCAGAAGGGGTTGTAGAAGCCGAATCCGGTGAGGAGGTTGCCGGGGGAGTCGTCGCCGAAGGCGGCGTACCCGAAGCAGCCGCACATCATGTAGAAGACGGTGGTTATGGAAACGCTTATTAGCGTCGCCTTCCTCATCGTCTTGTGCTCCGCCGGCGGCGATTTCACGGTGTCCTGTGGATGGATGGAATTTCAGATTTTGAATCGGGGATTTTGGCTTGCACTAGATATTAGGTGTAATTACGAAAAAAGGCCCAAAGTGATTTTTACCAAGGGTGGTTTTGCAATTTTAGTTTTTTGCTGGGGTTTAAAATTGAAATTACCTGAATTTCAATGAGGATGGCTGAGTATGAATAGGCAAATGCAATGGCTCCAAAGGCTTGAAAGCTTTTCCAGATCTTTTGTGTCTGAGTGACCGTGCCAATGCTTATTCCCGTCAGGCTCCCCTTAATTATTCCGTTCTCTGTGTTG